AAATCTTGAAATGAATTCGAATAATTGTTACTTACTGGCAATGATTGAACCAGCTGTCTCTACTGGGCATCAGTGGTGGACGTGGGGTTAGATTGTGGCGAAATCTAAACAGTATGTCATCAAAAACTAAGAAAAACGTCAAAAGAACTTAGCCAAATACCCAGTTTGGTTATTTTTTTGATATCTCGCATTTGAGATTGCATTTTCGTTTAATTATATTCAAATCCAAAACTTGTGAGAGTTTACTATTTCTAATTGAATTTAGATTGATCCTGATCGTGTTGATGTGAATGTGCATCCGACGAAATCGATTGTTTACTTTTTGGAACAGGATAACATAATCAGTTCAGTCCAAGATGTTAGCCCATTTTTGCTTGAACTCTAATTTAAGCGGATTGAAAAAAAAAGACGCTTTTGCAATTTTAATTCGTTCTTCTGATCCCCTTATTGCCAACCATATCCCGCGCACGTTTCAGGTCTTTTCAAAAAAGCCTAAATTTGATCCCAGATTGTTGTTCAGTTGTCCTCTATTGTACAGTTTACCCGCCATTTTGTCTCCATTTCAAATGTTTTTTATTAGAGGAAATGAAATTTCGTTTATGGGCTGAACAAAGCCCATTTACTAGCAACAGTCGTCCACTCACAAAAGTTCATATTCGTTTTTATTCGTAAAGCGTTCAGATTTGTCCACAAAATTTTGAAGAAAAGCATAAAAATAATTTTTCCTAATTTTAACTGAAAAATAAAATCTTGTTGAAAGTGAGTTTTGCAGTATGTGGAAAGCTTGATTTTGAGTTCGTCCGGAAATTGCAATGTCTACCCAAAAATACCTTTGATGACTGATGCTGTAACTCTGTCATCTACCGGCGGCAACAGCAGCAGCAGTCCATCAAAATCGACAACTACCACAACTGGCGGGAAGAAAATGCATATGGTTTCCGTTCCAGAAACACTCGGTGGGCCGCCACCGGCTTCTGCTGCTAAACCGACGCCGAAGGTGTATGCTCATCAGGTTAGCTGACAATTTTGCCTTTTAAAGTGAAATTTTAAAAAAGAAATCGAAAGGGCTGAACGTTACTAGGCCACAATCAGATACATTATCACTGGGTGAATGAGGTAGGAACGGAAGCGGGTGAAATTAATTACAAATAATTTAAAATTCAAACCTATAATATGTAATTCCACCGTTAAAAATTTGACTTTTTTAGTATTTTTTTCGCAAAGACCCAGTTTTTTTTTTCAACTCGACTTTTTCATTTAAATTCTTTAGTACAGTTTTTTAAAGCACCACTCAGTTAGTAGAACATCCGGTTAAATAGAACTGTATTGTTCCGTAACACTACAACTTTTCCACTGACCACGATGACTTCGATGATCAAAAGTTCGTTTATCAAACATTTCTTTTTTACCTAAAAGCTTCAGCTAATTCGAACGGATGCAAAAGAGAGGCGTTTGGAGGAATTCATGGCTAGCCAGTCGCAGAATGCTTCAAATACAACCGAAGATTTTGCCGGGTTATTTCATTGTTTTAATTGATAATGTGAAAAATGGCTCCTCCGATGGAAATTACCCACACCATTTTGGAGAGACTTACTTTCCACCCAGCAGCTTGAGACTTAGAGGAAAAAGTTTTTTTATAGTTTAGTTTTGATTCATAATGAAATAAAGAGACCGATCGACAACTGGAATAGTTTTAAGGGACGAAGCGTGCGTTTCTTTGGCAAAATGATGTTTTCAAATTTATCGGTCACAAGAAATAATTTTTGTGGAATTTTTCAGCTTAAATCGACCAGATGGTGTTCCGTGGCGTGAATTCGATTTCGAATCATTAAAAAACATGAAACAAGCACTATGTACGGCGGCATCTGTAAGCTTACGCTCATTATTCAAAGAGCATACATATATTGGGGCTGTGAATGCCAATCAGGTTTTAATCCAGCATTCAACATCCATATATCTCGTCAGTGCTCAAGAATGCTTGCGAAACTTCTTTTATCAGGTAATTTTCATGGATCGCGATGACCGTTTGCTATTTAGATCTGTTACACTTGTCGATTTTGAAGGGATTATTCACTCAACGGGTCCCTCAATAGCTTCTCTTAAATTTTGTTTTTTTTGGAAAACAAAATGACTTGCAGGTGCTTGTTCTCTCATTTGGCAATTTTGGATCATATAAATTGAGCGAAAGTGCGCCGATGACCGAACTTTTACATATTGCTAACGACCAGTTAAGTGATGAAGAAGTTGAGCAAAAAGCAGCTACGGTACTTGATAATCGCGAAATGCTGGACGATTATTTCTGTCTTGGCATAACCGAAAATGGCTGTGTTGAATCAATCCCATCTCTAATTGACGGATTCGTTCCACAACTGGAATCACTTCCGCAGCTTATTCATACACTTTCAAATGATGTTATTTGGGATAATGTAAGTTTATGCTGATTTTTTCAAATTTTTTTCTGGAAAATTAAAAATTAGTGTTATAGGATTTATTCGAAGTCTTCTGAGGCCTGACTTTTGGAAACCCTCGAACTTTTTATATTTTTTTACTCCTAGCTGCCGTATATAGTCAATATTTCTGGTCACTGTACTTCTATCTTCTTTGGGTTCGTTTTGGCCACTTAAAAACGAAAGTATAAAAAAAAAAACTTTAAGTTTATGCCTTTCGCAAAACTCAGTCTTTGTTTAAGGGAGGTTTTGAACTTTGTGTATTTTCGTAACGGATGCATAATAATGAGCGACATCCATGAAAAAGTCTCGAGAAAGTGACGCAATTTGACAGTACGAGCGGTGGATACGAACTAAAGACATGCAGCTTAGGATCTAGGGGTCTGATATTGCTGGGCCTAGCACCTTCGAGCCATCGCAGCAATTGTCTAAGCAATTTTGATAATTGCTAGGTATTTAGGTGCGTATGAATATTATCGATCAGTACGACAAAAAGCTTCGTTATTTGATTTGGAAGCATTGCCTCTTTGTTACAGACAATGTAACAACCTATAAATGAAATGTTGGGATATTTTCAGGAGCAGACTTGCTTTGAGGGAATTTGTTGGGCATTTGCTGATTTCTTTTGTGTCAAAATGCAGTACTGCAATGAAGAGCAGATTTCTGGATTGGATTCTAAATCACAGTCTTGGAAAAGTGTCTACAGGGATATCTTGTTTCCGGCGCTCAAATCAAATTTTTTACCCCCGCAAAGCCTGATGTCATCCTTACGACGG